ACCCCTCAGACCAGCTTCTGTCTCTGGATCTCCATTCATGGTAAGTGCCTACACAGGTATTCCATTTTTTATCTTTTATACTATATTTTCGCTGTATCTTCTCTATATTGATGTTTACATATACAAATATTAATTACCATTGTATTACAACTGCCTGCAGTATTTAGTACAGTAACATGGTATACAGGTGTATAGCCTAGGAGTAATAGGCTATAAACAATACAAGCCTAGGTGTGTAGTAGGTTACAATATCTATGTTTATAAGTGTGCTCTGTGTTGGTCACGCAAGGACAAAACTGTCCAACTATGCATTTCTCAGAATGTATCCCCATCATTTAGTGATACTAAACTGTAATGTCATATCACTTATATTTTCAACATCCTTTCCTTAGGATTTTCCATGGTATCCTTCATTCCAAGGGTCTATTTTATTGCTTTAAACAAAGAAAATACTTCAAGTTTTGTTTTGCTTCTTTAAGTGAATCCAGAAAGTTTTTACTTTTACTTATTGGCACTGAGGTAAACACTATCTAGATCAATTAAGGCAGTGGTTCTCAACCTGTGGGTCGCGACCCCTTTGGGGGTTGAAGGACCCTTTCATAGGAGTCGCCTAAGACCATCAGAAAACACATATAATTACATATTGTTTTTGTGATTAATCACTATGCTTTAATTATGTTCAATTTGTAACAATAAAATTGGGGGTCACCACAACATAAGGAACTGTATTAAAGGGTCGTGGTATTAGGAAGGTTGAGAACCACTGAATTAAGGCATTTAAAATCCAAGTCTTCCACAATATGACTTAGCCTATGATCACAGTCTTATTTCTCACCACATTCCCCTACTCCAGCCACACAAATGATTCTTTTTTTTTTAAATATATTTTATTGATTTTTTACAGAGAGGAAGGGAGCGGGATAGAGAGTTGGAAACATCCATGAGAGAGAAACATCGATCAACTGCCTCCTGCACACCCCCTACTGGGGATGTGCCCGCAACCAAGGTACATGCCCTTGACCGGAATCGAACCTGGGACTCTTCAGTCCACAGGCCGACGCTCTAGCCCAGTGATGGCGAACCTATGACACGCGTGTCAGAGGTGACACGCGAACTCATTTTTTTGGTTGATTTTTCTTTGTTAAATGGCATTTAAATATATAAAATAAATATCAAAAATATAAATCTTTGTTTTACTATGGTTGCAAATATCAAAAAATTTCTATATGTGACACAGCTGACACGCCGAGCTCAAAAGGTTCGCCATCACTGCTCTAGCCACTGAGCCAAACTGGTCAGGGCACAAATGATTCTTAACATTCCTAAAACTTAATCCATACATTTAAAATTTATATGTTTTTCCTCAAAACATTCACTTTGCCACAAAGGTGATTTCTATCCTCTCTTCTAGCCCACATGTGATTCTTTCACAGTTTATTAGAAAGAGCTGATAAGTTACATCCCTACTACCAATTTTCCTGGGTCAGAATTAATCAATTAATCCCTCCCTTTATTATTTCTCAAAAGAGTATTCAAAACTACCTGAAGACACTTTCTTTGGACTTATGATTGTGTAGAATTATCTCTTTACAATACTCTTTTAGGATAGAAGAAAACTGTTTTAAGCACTCTAAAAGTTACTTGGCATGAAGAGCATATAATAGACTTGTTAAATGAATTATGAACACTGATTAAAATAAAGTATATTTAAAAGCTGGCACAAATAAGTTTTCAAGTAAGCATTTCAAAAAATAAATATGTTTTCTTTTCCTGTTTGCAGGCCTAAAAAGTCATTTGCTCAAGACTACTCATCTATTTCCTATATCTACTAACCTCCTACTCAAATAACCATCAACGGTTTTGTTCACAGGCACATAGTGAATGCCTACTCCTGCAACTATACTGGAACGATACTACTGGTAAAATGACTATTTTAAGTAAAACAAACAAACAAAAACTCAGGAAATCATTTACTAAATTACTTATATTTTATATAGCACTTTATATAATTTCAAAAACATCTTAGTTCAATTCTTTATATAAATAAAAATTTATCAAAAAGTTCCTAGGAAATACTTTATTCAGAGAGATACAAAATAAACTTTATATCATAAAATTGACAAATATATCATAAAGTTGTCTTTTCTGCCCATGATATTTTTGTAAAACCAACTGGATTAGTGTCTCTGAGAAAAAAAAAAGGGCAACTTTAGTTAAAACTGCCATTCAAATTAGCATGGGTCAATCAACCCAAGAACCTGAAAAAATATACAATTTTAAAGAGATATAATTATAACTTTAATATACAGAAATAAATTGTGGCTTAAATGCTATAAACTGATTAACAATGTCCATAGATTTTAAATTATTTAACCAACATTGAGGTCTAGATGATTCCCATTCTTGCAACATATAGCAGCCTTTTTTTTCAAAATTCTTTATCTTTACTGACTACTCCCATCCTTATTTTAACCTATCAATAGCATTAAGTAAAACTCCATTGTTGTCATTAATCTATTTTCTTCATTAAAATAAAAATTAAGTTGCATATTTTCTTTAAAACTTGCTATGTGATCTATTTTAAAATACGTTCATGTGATGTGTCCCCACTTTCAAGTTTTCCTACTGTTAACACTTGTTATTTATGAATTTTTATTTGGCAATAATCTAAAATAATACAGCCTCCTATTCCAACAGTGATATTCTAAAGTAATTGAGTATTCAATTTACATTTTAACATATAAATCAAAGTGTTATTTTTCCCTCTGTAGACTACAAAATGGCCATTGGCCTTTATCTTTAAATTGTAGAATCTTAGAAGAAATAAAAAGCACCTAGCTGTGAAATTACCAACAAGATTAGGATATGTATGGCTTTGCATTTTTGCTGTTCTACTTCCTAGCACTGTAACCTTGTAAAAGATATTTAATGTATCTGAGTCTTAATTTCTACATCTTTCAATAGTGAAAAATCTGTACTTGATTTATATGATTTATATGATTGATGTAACATGCTTTGAACAAAGCCTACCATTTGGTAAATGCTCAATAAAATTTAACCAACTTTTCCTCCTTATTCTGTCATATTTTTTTCCTATTGTATCTCCTTCACCTCTTCTTTCTCTCTTTCCTCTTACTGATCCTTGGCTGGTCATCTCAGGCTAACAGTTTATTTATCAAGGAGAGAAAAGAAACCTAAATCAATTTCACAAATACCACAAATAAGTATTTGGCCTTTCATGAAGCGGCCGATGTTCCTCTCCGGTAGCCGTGCCAAGGTAAAGATACAGGCCTCAGAGTCAGAAATAGCTTATTTTTAATTAAAGACCATCATTCACTATAGGGTCACTGTGAAAATAAAATGTAAATTTCTTAGTGCAGTAACTGGCAAATAGAAAACTATGAAGTAATATCTATGATAAAATCATCACAAGGATGATATCAGTAAGTGTATTTGTGACTGTAAGTCCTGTGTCCTAGTTACCAGTTTGCTCAGAAATGTGGCCTGACCAAGCCAAACACAATCACTAGAGCAGGGGTATAACTCCTGATCCCCACATGATTCTTCAGCTATGACTATATGAGGACAGTAATAATAGGATCTCTAATGTGTGTGGGGGTTTTTTTGGTCTTTTTTTCCCAGAAAATAAAAATTAGGGCTTCTACATTAATTACTTATAAGTTCTTATAGGTTATTCTGTATAAGAACTGATACAGAGATATTTATTATATTAGAAGGTTTCTAGGAAAAAAATTTAATTTACTTCTTGAAAGTAACTGTGATAAATGTGACATACTTGATACACACAAGACATACTGATGTTTATTCATTTTAATGGAAAGAAGATAATGAAGGTTGAAGCATAATCTTAATTTACAAATATATTTCTCATAAATGATTTGATAAAGAGCTCACAGAATAAAAAGAAATTTTCAGAAAAAATAAATAAAATCAGTCTATAAAACAAATAAAAAACAGCCTGTTAATCAAAAACAGGAAGATTTAACTCTTCATATGAATTTTTAGATGAAAATACATATGTTTAATAATTAACTGTTGAATAACTGTTGGTATAAAAAGTCAAATTCAAGCAGCAATATTTGAATAATTCTAAAATAATAAAACCTGTTTGGGTCAACTTCTCCTTTCAGATTTAAATTTGTAGATGTAATGGAAGAAGCAATGTAAAATTATCAAGAATGTGATAAATGAGAAAATAAATTTTAAGAAAAGAAAGAAAAGCTAACCCAACTATACCTGAAGACAGTTGACCACCTCCATTATTAAAGTTGTTTAAACAGACAAAACGAACAATGCACAAAGCTTCACAAACCACCCTTTTATTTTAGCTTAAAAATGTAGAAACATGTTGCAATGTGAAAATAATGCAAAATACATCAAAACATAAAAATCAAGTACAAACAAAACTAAAATAATGTTAATACCTGAAAAATTGTACTTTGTAAATTATGCATCCTTATAAGTATTTCAAAAGGAACTATTCCTAGATTAAAAAACAAAACAAAAAACAACACCACCTAATCATAATGTATCTTTTTGCCAACTTCAAAAAATACAGTAGACTCATAGTTTCTAATAAAAACCAAATTGTTAATATCTGTGAAATCCACTTATGTTATGGTAATTTAAAATTTGTTTATGCACAAATACTCAGTGAGGTTACCAAACTTCATAACATATATACAGAAAAGTGTCTTAAATATACAAATAGAAATTTATTTCTAGAGAAAATATTTATGAAATATTCTAATATTATTCTGTATAAACACTATGTTAAAGAACAGTTACTAATTTAGAAGAAACAAATATGTTTTACATATTATTCCCACTTCTAATTGTAATTTAATCTCTTCTATGTGATTTAAGTTATATGCTAAAATGTATACCACATAGAGTCCAAAACCCACCATTCTTTCATATTACAACAGATCCTAAATATCTAACAAGGATGACAATTTGTAAAAGATATTCAAACTTACCCCATTTAATGGATATGTTTTCCATCCTAGCTCTCCCAGCACAGTTGTTGTATCAAGCAACACAACTGCAATTAAATAAACAAAAAATGCATAAATATCTCAAATCTTACTATTACTCACTACATTAGCTTTAGTAAGTTGTATTAGTTTAAATTATTTATATATAGTATTTATAAGTAATGATAAAATACGTGAGGTGGTTATAAGTTAATTTTAAAATATGTAATTTGTGTATAACAACGCTAAATGAAACAATTTAATAACAAAGTCATTCTTAATAGCTGTCTTCCACATAGAAGCATAGAACAAATTGTGGAATCTCAGAGGGAAGACAGGGGAAGGTGGGTGGGTGGGTGGGAAGAGATCAACCAAAGAACTTGTATGCATCCTATCTAATAAAAGAGTAATATGCAAATTAACCATCACTTCTAGACAAAGATGGCGGCACCCACTGCCAATAAGGAGGGAATATGCAAATTGACACGACAAAGATGGCGATGCTGGCCAGAGCCACAGAGCCAAGCCGGCCGGAGAGCGGGCACGGGAGGCTTGGCTTCCTCTCTGGCCGTCTTGGCTTCCTTGGTCGCCCCAGCTGGCTCCGTGGCCGCCACCCAGACAAAGCCATAGTGGCAGAGCTGAGGCAGAAGCAGTAAGGGGCGATCATACCAGGAGGGAGGGCAGTTGGGGGTGATCAGGCTGGCAGGGGGGGCCAGTTGGGGGCAAGTAGGCCGGTAGGGGCGGCAGTTGGGGGCGAGCAGGCTGGCAGTGGGGGGTAGTTGGGCATGATCAGGCCAGCGGGAGGGGCAGTTTGGGGCAAGTATGCTGGCAGGGGGGAGAGTTGGGGGCAAGCAGGCAGGTGGGGGGGGGCAATTGGGGTCAAGCAGGCCGGCGAGAGGGCAGTAGGCGGTGAGCAGGCTGGCAGGGGGGGCAGTTGAGGGATGATCAGGCCGGCAGGGGGGGCAGTTGGGGACAAGCAGGCTGTGCAGGGGGGCAGTTGGGGGCAATCAGGCCAGCAATGGGGGGCAGCTGGGGATGAAAAGGCCAGTGGGGGGGCATTTGGGGGCGAGCAGGCTGGCAGGCAGGTAAGCGGTTAGGAGCCAGCAGTCCGGAATTGTGAGAGGGATGTCTGACTGCCGGTTTAGATCCTGTGGGGATCTCAGATTGGAGAGGGTTCAGGCTGAGCTGAGGGACACCCCTCCCCCGCCGTGCATGAATTTCGTGCACCAGGCCACCAGTATATGCATAACCCATGAACACACAATATTGTGGTGAAAGCATGGGGCAGTGGGTGGAGGCAGGCTAGAAAAGGTCAATGCGGGGGAAAGGGGACATATGTAATACTTTAATAAATTTTTAATTTAAAAATTTTAAAAATAAAATAGCCATCTTCTAAAATTGATAAAATAACCACCTTTGCTTCTCTCTCCTTTCATATATGGTCCTTCTATATCACATTAAAAAAAGACTGTATTAAAGCAGGCTTCTTTATTTTCTTTCTGTTATTAAATGCCCTTATATATTATTGGCAAAGTATGAAAACAATTCTTATGAATAAATCCGAGATCTTTAAAGCATAGATTACATTGTTACTGTATTTGCCAGATAGTATACTTACTACTGAGGGAGGCAAAAACAAAAATAAAAACCACACATCATTTTCCTGACCAAAAGTAACTCATAATCTGATGGCAAATATGAAAACAAATAATTAAAATATATTCTGTTAAATTCAAAACTAAACGATTGACTATATGATAGCCTAGCAAGTAAGTAGGCTAAGGCTGGCAGGGCAGGTCTCAGAGGATTTAACAAAGGAGATGCTATTTGAGCTGGGCTAGGATGAGGGGTCTTCATCAGATGTGATAAGCAACAAATATTTGTTTTTCATTTAGAATATCTTCTATAAAATAACTGAGCTATAACTCAGTTCTCAGTTGATGGAACAGCGACCAGGGGTGGGAATTATTTCCAGTGAAGAAGGAGGACAGAAATGAGGGAGGAAAGCAACAAAGATGAACTGGGGAGGAATCTGCAGAGTTTACAGCAGGTAACTGCTTGGGGTCCATGATTCAGCTGATCTTTATTTTTAACTACTTACTACCTCCAATTCCCCCAGACACCAGTAGTCCATGGACCACACTTTGAGAAACAATGCTTTATCATCTCATTAAGACTTTTAGTCTTCATCTAGTTAAGAAAGTGGAGTTTATTTGTTGCCTTTTTGTAGTTTAAAAAATTGCTATTAGGGGTACGTTACTTGGTATCTGCTGTTTAGTGTCTATTGTAAACATTTTGTCATTTTTCCTTATTTGAATCACTATGATACGTTATTTGAATATAAAACCATGTTTAAATTTCTGGGATAAACTCTATTCATTGCAGAATATTCTTTCAGTACTCTTAAAATCTATTTACTAAACTTTTATAAAACTGAGATATAATTCCTTAGTTCATTTTTACTGTGGAAAATCTCAAACATATTTTAACATGTAGAGAAAACAGTACATTGGACCCACATGTAGTCATCATAGGGCTTCAATAATTACCAGCATGGCCAATCTTATTTCATGTTTACTATTCTCCCACTCCAAGATTTCTTTGAAGAAAATTCCAGTAATCATATAATTTCATGTGTAAAAATTTCAGTATGTATTTCTACCATAAAGATTTATTTTATATATAACTACAATATCTTAATAAAGTACTGAAAGTAGTAATCCCTTAATGTCATCAAGTAGCTAGTGTTTAATATTCTTAGTTTCTCAACTTCTTTAATAAAAAATCAATATCTAATAAGTACTATAAATTACAGTAAATGGACATTCCTTTTAAAGTGTTTTTTTTTAATCAATAGCTTTTCCTATTATATTTTTAGTTAGATTTATTGAGGCATGGTGTACTACTAATAAAGTTCACCCATTTTAAATGTACATTTCTATGAATTAAGACAAACCCCTACATCTATATAACCAACTCTATAATCAAGCTATAGAAAACACTCATGACCTCCAAAATTTCCTTTGTGATCCTTTATAGCAGCGGTTCTCAACCTGTGGGTCGCGACCCCTTTGGGGGTCGAACGACCCTTTCACAGGGGTCGCCTAAGACCATCGGAAAACACATATATAATTACATATTGTTTTTGTGATTAATCACTATGCTTTAATTATGTTCAATTTGTAACAATGAAATTGGGGGTCACCACAACATGAGGAACTGTATTAAAAGGTCGCGGCATTAGGAAGGTTGAGAACCACTGCTTTATAGTGAGTCTCTTCCCCACCAAGCCCTTGGCAACCACTCCTCTGATTTCTGCGCCAATGGTTCTGACTTTCCCAAAATGTCAAATGAATGAAATCACATAGCAGATAGTCTTTGAGTTGTTGTTTTTTATGTTAGCATAGTGTACTTGAGATTCATCTATGTTGCTGTATCAATAGTTAAGTTCCTTTTAATTGCTGAAAAGTATTCTACTGCATGGCATTTCCTAATTGATAGACATATGGGCTATTTTCAGTTAGAGAATTATAAGTAAAGCCACTGTAATATATCATTTACAGATTCTTATAGGAACCCATGCTTTCTTTCTTCTATGGTACATAGAAATTACTGGATTATGTGAGGAATACTTTTTTTTAAAGTGTCATATTCCAAAATGGCTATGAAGTTTTGCATTCCCATTAGGGGAATATGTTATTTTCCTATTGCTCCACATCCATGGTATTATCCAGTTTTTGAGGCATGCTAACATGTGTGCAACAGGATCTCATTGCTTTAATGTTTCCCTAATGACTAGACAGTTTATCTTTTTCACTACTTGAAATCAAATTTACTAAATAAAACAAAATTGTTTTGTCACACTTTCTGGATTTTCCTAATTATAATATATCATTGAAAGGTGCTTCCCCATTTCCTGTATTTTCTTTAAATTAAAGATCTATTTAGTGGCTTGATCTGATTCAGGTTCCATTTATTTTTATATTTCATAAGATTACTTTATTGGTGGTGTTTCATAGTCCTTATACCAGAAAACAGGGATGATATTAATTTCCACTAGGATCACTGAGAAAGAACTCTAGAACCAACTTGCATAGGCTCCAACTGGACAAAAATAATTTGATCATAAACAAGGTTAATGACTGGAAGGAATTAAAATATTTCAAATATGCTTAAATCCAAGCACTTTGGAAGGGATTTTAGAGATAGGACAGTGAGTCTTAGGGAAGAAGGGGGAGAGATCAACCAAAGGACTTGTATGCATGCATATAAGCCTAACCAATGGACACAGACAACAGGGGGTGAGGGCATGAGTGGGGGGGGGGCTAAGGGGGTAATAGGGATATAAGGACACATATGTAATACCTTAATCAATAAAGAAATTTAAAAAAAGAGAGGGTCCATGGGGGAGGAATGCATATGTGAAGGGCAGAAATAGCTCCAAGATGCCAAAATGCTTATCTTACTTGTACAGAGGATAAAGAAATGTCACAGGATAAGGAAGGAAGACATACATTCACAGAAAATAAAGAAAGGTCACAAGGTACCAGGAAGAGGGGAAGATATTTTCACAGAGAATAAAGGAATGTAGCAAGATAAGGGGGAGAGAAAGAAGGAGGCACCAGGTGGGCTTTGATCTTTGAAATTGATATCCTGCAAAAGAGGGACCAATTAAGAAAGCACAGGGTCATAAAATGGGGAAGTGGTCCAATTAGAAGGGAACATAGATAGACAAAGAACTACAGCCTTTTTAAACCTGGAGACAAAGAGACTCAGACAGATTTTGGATTTTTTATTTTTTCCATTAGAGAGAAAGAGAGCAGGTTTTTTCTGCATTTGGGGGTCCCATTTGGAGACCCCTTACTTGGGAAAGTTTGTATATGCTTCCAGTAAACTTCCACGTTTTTATTAAAGAAGCCTTTTAGTCCACGAGTTTATTATTCTTCAAACTTTGTGGGCAAGGACCCACGGAAGAATCTGCACCCTGAACCCCACGTTTCACATTCATAATGATAAATATACCATTAATAAATTTTGCAGCATACTAGGAAGCCATCCTATACTAAGA